AGAATCGATTATCCGTAATTTGATTATCCATTCCCACACTAGACTTGGTTTCTAACTTTTATTGAAATGATTGGTATAAGTTATATTGTTACCTCTATGGTGGGAAAATATTATATTAATTGATTCTAAATTTTAGTATTCAAAAAGTTAAAATTTAACTATTATGTATTATATATATTTATATATTAATTTAAATATAATATGAAGTTGGGATGAGTTTGCTACTTTGCTCCATCTCTGACAATACCACCACAAAAGCGTATTTTAAAATAGAATTTTAAACTTTCAACTTTCAAGATTTTGAGAACAAAATCACGAGTTTCACACATTTGTGAACAAAGAAAACTTTGCAACTACATCTGTGAAAACAATTTATCACAACTACAGTTTCCACAACTACTCAGTGTGTTACTATTTATTACCTGACACTTTTTACTATTTTTTTTTTTTCAATTTAAATTTCACCCCAATTTCTATTTTATAGGGATCAATAATTACCATAATATTTGATCAGTCTCAAATTTTTTGTGTTGGATTTTTTAATAAATACATATGTATATATATGAGTAAAATATATTCGCTAATTATTAGTTTCGCTAAATATAAGACTAATCCTGTATATATAATATGCATACTGTTGACAATAATGCTATGTTGGTGGCAGATAGTTTAAGTTTTAATGATACATTCTCAAATCCAATGATTGTACAAAAAATGGAAGAAATTTTGGAAGCTAAAATGAGATGGGTTGAATTATTGACCACCCTTTTTGTATTTGAAGATTCTCCATTTTTTTTTTCTTTTTTATTGCATTCAATTCAATTAGGGAAGAAAACAAAACAAAACAAAACTTGTCCATTATTTAATGCATTACACTTATTTGCACACAGCTCTTTGATTTTCAAATGGTCGCAATTTTATATTTTCTAAAATGTTGTGTACAAATCTAACTGTGGAGAGACAAGTTGGTGAGGTCATGATGAGCCTGACCTGTAACCAATTTGAAATGGACTGAATATACGTAATTAATAATTTGTATATTTTTTATTTAAATGTGGAACAACAATTTCATAGATACCGTGAATAAGGGTGAATTATGGCTTATGACCATACACAATATTTTTACGTCAATTCATTATAGATGTACTTGTGTTAAATAATAAAAATCAGTCATTACTACATTATTTTTGATAACTTATAATATTCATTCGCATATTATTTTGAATTTTTTTATAGTAAGCAAAAACAAATAAAATTCAGCTAATAAAACAATTTATTTGAAGAAAATATGATAACATACACCCATAATTAATTCCAAAATATCTCTGGCCTATATATTAATTCAAAATATGTCGCACGCTTCATACATAACAAAACTTCATGTTTCCTAATTTGATTTGTTTATACATTATTGTTTTGGAATAAAATTTGATATTTGATATAAATAATTTATTGCAATTTTGGCAAGTATGACTTTATTTTTGTCCCATTTATCTCTTTTCCAAACCAAATCTTACCATATATAATTTGCTTCATTTATTAAATACAATATTATTTATAATATTTTAAAAGTTAATAACTTTTTTTAAATATATATATTTTTTCATATAAAAATTATCAAATTAATTATCTTTTGATGATCTTCAATTCGACATTCGTACCATATACAATTTTAAATTAATTTCATCTATCTTTATAAGAAAAAGTAAATCTGTTTATCAAACCAAATTAAAAAATACAAATATAACTATATATTTTCGTTTAAAATAAAAAATACTATTTTACCATAAAATAATATATATATATATATTTGCAATAGTAGAAAGAAAATATACAGAGATTAAGTATAAACATAGACGAATGAATATGAACAAAACTCTAAAAATTATATATCCAATTAAACAAAGTATAAAGGCGATTGAATGTTATTATGATGTTGAAAATAAAAATATAACTAAATATAAAAAATTAAAAGCAATAAAAATTTTAATTATAGTTTCAAAAGTCATACAATGTCAGATTGATAAGTACAAATGAATATTTTTAATGATCGAATATTATTAGCAAGAAGATACAATAAACAATATAAATAAAGCATAATTTATTATGTTATTATTTTAATATTTTATATGGTATTTAAAAGTATATCTATAAACAAGCATATTCATATTAATTTAAATTTAACTAATTAAATTTTAAAAAAAAATATCAAAATCCATTTAGCACTGTCGTAAATAATATTTGTGTTAGACATTAATTTTAATTATAAATGCAACTAAAATGATTAGCATTTTTAAAATTTGAGGGCAAAAGATCATATAATTGTTAAATAATTATTATTTTATTAGTTTCATTATTATTGTACATTTATTTTTAATATTTCACAATAAAATATAAGTACTTTTATATATTTACTTTTTACTTACAATTTTTTTTTTTTTTCAAACACCCTGTAGTACAAGAGCTGAGTGTCGTACACTCGTACTAGTGGTATTATTATTGTATGAACATACTGTTGGACATACGAGACGGTAAATGTAAGCTATATTCTTTCTACAGATACTTATATTTTCAAATTAAAATGCCATTCTTTAAAAACTAACGTAAATAAAAGTAAGACATTATGCAACATAAATATATACTTTGGAAAAAAAAAAAAGTATGATCAATGTTCCCAGAGGCCGTTTAAATATCAATCTGTGTTAATATTAGAATTTAGAACTTTCAACTATGCATTAAGCAAATTACCCTACAAATATGAAATAGTCTTGTCTCAAAAGGTGGCTTGTACTTAGTCCTATTTCCAATCAATATGTGCAGTGTGATGATCTCCCTATGGCGATGGACCACCAAATTTTAGCTTGTTCACTGAGATGTCAAACATTAATGATATTTTATATGATTGTGTATATTAATTCAAAGTAATGATTTCATTAATTTTGTGTAACTTAGTTACCATATATTTGCAATAATTACATGGTTTGCGAGATTATTGAACCCGGATAATTATTAGTTTTAGAAAAAATAATAATTTATTATTAGTGGGTAACCTAACAAAAACAGTGTTTGTCATAAATAAACATTAATTTATTCCTAAGAAAGGCCAAGAAAAGCTTTTTTTTAAAAATCAAAACTATCGCACGAGAGATAACTGGTCGATTAGTGCGATGTATTATCTCTATCCAATATGCGCGCTTTTGGTTTGAAGGTTTCAATAGACAAATACAGATCAAAGTATGCACAACACATACTATCAAGTAGCTCGGGTAAATCGGTTGTAAGACCTTGTAGCTTGGAGATTAACGGTGGCCTTTTTAATAAATGGAGAGGTAACGACCTCTTGATAGCTCGTGATACCTCCTAGTGGTTTAAAGCATATTATTGACCTGTGGACGGAGCCTATGATGGACCTGTGGCAATGCATTTGATTGACTTGTGCGTGGTTTACGTGATATTGACTTATAGACAATACACATGTGATGGACTTGTGTGTTGGAGTATCACTTGTGAGTTGTCCCACATTGATTCTATAGAGAAATTGGGCCTAACTTATATGCCTAGTGGGCTAGTACTCCTCCCATCACCAATTGATTTTTGGATGAAACCTCACTATGGTGCACTAGGTCCACCCTCTTATGGTGCTTTTCATCTGCGTGGGACCGCACTCTCTTGCGGCCTTGTCCCGATCTCTAATCTTACACTGTGGGTAGTCTACATGTTATCGACCTTTAGATACAATTGTGATGACGTGTGGGGTAATATTATTGACCTATAGTATATAAAAGAACCTCAATAGTAGACAATGATGCCATATTTTACTGATGTCGTGGAGTGTTCGAGGAAGATTGTTGATCATCTTATAGATAAGAAAAGATCTCGGGCAGACCTTGGGCAGCAAGACAAGATTCTACTATATATATGTCTCATATATGGAAGGGTGAAGGAATCTTTCCTTGGCCTTTCAATACACTTACTTACTTATCACATTCATATTATGAGAATTGACTTGATCGTCGAAGGTTTATCATTAGGAACACTCCCAGAGTATTTTGTAGGATGCTTATGTGGTCAAAACTGTTCGAGGTCACTGGAAGGCCAATTTGAGGAGTAATTGCACATCAAGCGCGATAAACGTGAGACGTATTAATAAGTTGGATCCATTTTCAGTGTAAGAGATGAAGTTCCAAAAGACTGACATGTTTGTAAATCCATCTCTAACCTAAGACCAACCCCCAATACATTGCTAGATTGAAGATTTACAATAGAGTAGGACTAATTTTTTGGTCGAGCATTGTGCTAGAATTATGTGCCAAATGAGAGAAGTGAACAATGTTGTGCCATATACAATGCAACACTGCTGCACCACATTTTTTATTTAATATATCTTAGTATAACTGTTAACAGTGTGCAATATTAAATGGTAATAATTCATAATTCAATTTTAAAAAGTTTATCAAATATTTTCATTTGGCGAAAAAATATATATTTATACTAAATTAGGAGAAAATAATTTAAAATATTAAATTATATATTTCTATTAAAAACTAATTTAAATTAAAGAGAATATTTATATATAAAATAAAATGTAGATCTAACGATTGAAAACAAAATTTATTTTTTGGAGTAGAGCTATTCCCTTTCAGAGTAGATATAAGAGCTGAGAATTTGAAAAAGACAAACATAAACGGACAATACGATTGGTGAACCTATTCACTACACTT